AGCCTCAGTGGGACTTTCAAAACAAGTATTTCCCAGAGGAAACGTGGGGTTTCCAACTGGGCACATTCTTTGCTGTAGGACTCAATCAAATCAATCATCACACCTGGACTGTATATCCTGTATATCATCTGTATATCATCACACCTGGACCCGGTGTATATGAAACCAACAAAGTTCTCAAAACATTGACCTGTTGATCTTTGACTGGCATGTGGTACAGAAATGTTCAAATACTTCCTCTGTCTCTAGTTTGGCAGGAACTTTAACTCTTCCTTTCCTGCAGAAAATTCCTTAAACACTAGGAACTCAAGATGAAAGAAAAGGCATCTGGTAAAAACTCCTGTTGAAGATATTGCCACTTCATAAAATATCAATACACAAATTACACAAGTCAGATCACATATGATGTCCTCAGCACAGAAGGCAGAAAGACCTGAATTCCAAAACAATTACAAGCACAAGAGTTAACACATTTTTCTAGTAAGATGCAGACAAAGCAACAGCAAGGCTTACACGGATTGGGTTCATAATTCTAGAGAAAAAGACAAAGTCCACACAGAGGGGAAACGTTTGTCTCTGTGGCTCTTTTTGCATAAGTTGCAGAAAGTTTTTAAATAAAACCTCAGACACGCAGAGTTCTCAGTCCATAGCACAAAACACACTTAGAAATCACATTCAGCAGTTCTTCAGCTAATTGCAGTACAGCAAAAGCATAACAGGACAAGACAGTTAAAATTACAGAATCACAGATTATGCCAAGTTGGAAGAAACCCACAGGTATCACTGAGTTCAACTCCTAGCCCTACACAGGACATCCCAAGAGTCATATAAGGTGCCTGAGAGTATTGTCCAAATGCTTCCTGAAATCTATCTGGCCTGGCGCTTGGACCACTTCCCTCAGGAGCCTGTTCTAGTGCCCAAAACCTGTCTGTGAAGAAGCTTTTCCTGATATCCAGCCTAAACCTCTCCTTACACAGCTTCAGGCCATTGCCTCGGGTCCTGTCACTGGTCACTCAGAGCAGAGATCAGTGCCTGCCCCTCCTCTTCCCCTCCCAAGGAAGGTGTAACTGCAATGAGGTCTCCCCTCAGTCTCCCCTGGGCTGAACAGACCAGGTGACATCAGCTGCTCCTCATATGGCTTCCTATCCAGAACCTTCAGCATCCTCATGGCCCTCCTTTGGATTCTCTCAAGTAGCTTAATGTTTTACATTGTGGCAACCACAACTCCCCCCAGCACTAGAGGTGAGGCTGCCCCAGAGCAGAGCAGAGCAGAGCAGAGCAGAGCAGAGCAGAGCAGAGCAGAGCAGGACAATCCCCTCCCTTGCCCAGCTGGTGATGCTGTCCCTGATGCCCCCAGAACACACTTGGCCCTCCTGGCTGCCAGGGCACTGCTGGCTCATGTTCAACTTGAACCCCAGAACCCCAGGGCCCTTTCCATGGCACTGCTCTCCAGCCTCTCATTCCCCAGTCTGTCTGTACAGCCAGGGCTGCCCCATCCTGGTGCAGAATTTGGCACCAGCCCTTGTGGAACTTCATATAGCTGGTGATTGCCCATCATCTGTTGGGGTCTCTCTGCAGGGCCTCCCTCCCTTTGAAGTCAGCAGTTCCTCTCAGATTTGTGTCATCTGGGAACTTGCTTAGTGTCCCTTCCAGTCCTGAGTCTAAGTCGTGTGTGAAGATGTGAAAGAGCAGAGGGCCCAGGATGGAGCCCTGTGGAACTCCCTAGTGACAGGTGCCCAGTCTGATACCACCCTGTCCACTGTAACCCTTTGTGCCTGACCCATGAGCCAGTTCTCACCCATCCCAGGATGTGTTTGTCCAGCTGTGAGCTGGGCATTTTGTCCAGAAGGATACAGAGAGCTAGCAATGAAAGCTTTACTGAAATACAAAAAGATCACATCAATTGGCTTCCCTTGATCAACTGTGTGGTTTAACCTTGTCATAAAAGAAAGACCCTATAAGCAGGAATTTCCTCTCACGAAGCTGTGCTGGATGTGACCAAGGACTGCATTATCTTTCAGGTGTTTTTCAACAACTCCCAGAATAATCTTTCCCATAACTTTACCAGGCACTGAAGTGAGACTGACAGTCCTGTGGAAGGGGTCCTCTTTCTCACCCCTCTTGAGAACATGGACAACATATGAGAACTTCTAGTCAGCTGGGACCTTTCACGATTTCCAAGACTGCTCGAAAGTAATTGAGAGGAGTTTTGTAATGACATCACCCTGCTCTTTGAGAATTCTTTTATTAGTCCTATTAGGCCCCATAGATTTGCAGGGATCCAGCTTGAGCTGGGAGGGTTGACTGGGAGTTGATCATTCTAACACTCTTGGTCCTCCAGCTCTATGCACAGACACAGGCATGTTTTGGTACAGCTGCCTTTGTTCTTCCATCCTTCTCAGGTCCAATATGATCTTGGGTTTTATCCGAAGTAAAAAAATCTATTTGCATTATGTAGCAGAAAGAAGAGCACTATTACTAATTTCAGGGTTCACAATTTTAAAGGCATGGCTATTTACTCAATGTATGAGTCAGGCTGCTGCATCTGCTGCTTATAAGGGCACTTTGGTGTCATTTTACTGCTTAATGAGTTTGTACACTAGAAAATAAAACCCTTGAAGAAAGATATATCAGCTCTATTTTTCAGATTATTTCTTATCACAAACACAGTTTCATAGCTGTTGACTATACCAACAGATATTTGTATACTCTATAGGGACAATATTATTTCCCAAAATTGGCAACAGTACTAGACAGTAAATTTAAAAGAAAGCCTTTATATTGCAAGGACACCAAACAGGTTGTATTTTCATCTGAAGTTTACAGACTGGAATTGAAAAGCTGTACCTTTTTAAAAGTACCTCTTAAGGTAAAATATGGAGTGCAAAACATGACTCTCGATTTTCCTCTAGTTTGCTGTCATGTAACAGAAACAACAACAAACACACAGCCCACACAGCTCAGCTCCTGTCATGACCATGGACACTCAAGAGACACTCAAGCCTCTGCCATACTTTTGTGACTAGTCTGTACCATGGATGACATTGTGAACACAGTGCTAGCTAGCTCAGGGATGCTGGAGCATTAACAGTTGCATTCTGGAGAGCTGGACATTTCTCCAATCTGCTTCAAGACAGTGCTCTAGCCCACAATCAGTTCTACATACCTTATGCTCATACACTGCTTTAGTTACTTATATGAACCTTCAGCAGTTCAGCAAGGTAAACTTAACCAGTAAGTGTAAATTCAAAGAGAACTACAAAAGAAATAAGAATGGTTTCAGAACACATCTTATTATTCCCAATCCTCTCTTCAAAGGCTTGTCTCGAAAAATACTTCAGTGAAGACCTCCGTATAACCTTAAAGCTTGAAGATGTATTATTTAAATAGCATATACAGTCTGCTGGATTTTTCCATCTAATAAAAATATCCACCGCTTTATTTTTTCCAGAAGCTTACAGATAATCCTATTAGATGACAACTCACTTTAACATGCTCTGCTCCAAAACATGAGGCATTGCCAAGGCCACTCATCTCTCCAAATCTAAAATATTTTAAAGCTGTTATCAAAACACAATACCACAGCAGCTAGCAAAGCAACTCCTCAAATGTTAACCTTCACACTTTCCCTTCTTCTTCAAAATAAAATTAAGTTTCCACTCACAGTTTTTGGTATTTGACAGCAGAATGGAAATGGGAGTTTGATGCATGCAATTTTTATGAAAAGCTTGTTTTCTTAAATAACAACAAACCGTGCACTTTGTAGCAACTCTCCTTCCTCATATGCACCCAGCAACGCATACCTCTGGACACCTGCCTTTTTGCTTTCTCAAAAAAACTTTACCAACTCTTTTTCTACCAAACTTAATATACTTTTCCAGATGCAAAAATTATGGAAATGTCATGTAAGGACAAAAAGACTGATTTGCCCTGGGTGACAAATCACTTTGGATGCAGAAAACTACTTTTATTTAATAATTTTCTAATTAATAATTTTCTACAAAGCTCATACATTTTCTCGGGTAACTTACAGATACCCATTTCTGCAGAGCATATGTGATGTTTCTTTTTCTCTTTTACAGCTCAAACGCCCACACCCTCTTGGACTTTAAGATGAAAACTACAGGTATGGAAGATAACAGAAAAAAGAATTAATGGTGGACTTACCTACTTGCAATGGTAAAGAACATATGACTATCAATAATTTACATCACCATCTCCACATACACAGTACTATAAACTTCTGTTTATCTGAATAAGTGTCATAAGTTGTACAGCAAATTGTTTTTCATTTTTGAATTTCTTTCTTTCTGACAGATCATAAAGTACCTTACAACTAGCAATCTGAACCAGGAAAGTGTGTTTCAGCTAGAAAGATGCTGAAAGGATAACAGGTGAGCAGCATCTGTTCATGACAATAAAGGCAAAGGTTGAACAACTCCAACTAAGAGCACTGTAGCTGACCAATACCCTTTCAAAGGCAACACAAGACGCTTAGCTGAACAAACATACCCCAGCAGCCTTAAACACCTCATCAGACTGATGCTGCAAAACACACACCTCCACGTGCATCTTGAACAGGGTGGTCAATCGAGGAGTACCAGCATCCTCATATTACTTCATTACCTAACAGACTATAGATTTAGATACCTCACATACCCCAGAGTAATAGATGTTTCAATACCACTTGATTTCCAGGGTTTGTAAAACAAGCCAAATAATCTTTAACGTATAGGCAGTTTAGTTAGACATGGTTGCTTTCAGAGATACATGGTGAAACACAGCAACCTCTGACCAGCAAAACTCCTAACTATGTTTAGGCCTTTGGCACAAAACATCACTGATATATTTTTTGTAGTTCTAGTGAGAGCTTACCTGAATAAACACAGGAAGATTGAACACAAGGCCAGCAAGCCAGACACAGGACAAATTTAGCTCCTGGTTCCTGTATCGGGAACCAGGCTGCATACCACTAATACATAAAACTTAAAGGGTCTTACCTTTCTGCACATGGATGATGTCTGGAAAGTTGGCCAAGTGCCCCTGATACAGCGCTAACAAATCCATCACAGGATCTAGGTCCTGACGAGGCTGATCTGCAAAGAGGTCCCCGATGGCATCATAGGCTTCTGCAGTGAAAGCTATGGCTTGGTTGAGGCCAGCTGAAAAGGCCTGCTGGTCCAGCTCAAATGCCTGACTGAGGCACTTGAAGGAGTGCCCCACCTTCTGGTATTCCTTCTTGAAACCAGTAACTTGTTTGCGGGCAAACTCGTTGGCTGTGTGATTAAGTTGCAGGGCACTCTCATCCATCTTCTTGGTGAAGGCTTTGAAGCCATCCACCTGGCTTTCCACCTCCTGCAAGTCTAGGCTGGCCCCAGGGCCTGTGGGGACACTGATGGTCAGAAAAAAGTTTGCACCCACCATCTCATCCTTCTCAGCCTTGCGCTTGCCCTGTTTCCAGGCCTTCTCATCCGTGCTGGGACAGGTGAGGAAGTGCTGGAAGGCATCACACTGAGCCAGCACGGGGTGGCTGCACATGTGGTCCATCCACCAGGCCAAGCCTTTGCGACGTTTGGAGATGAAGTCCTCCTCAAAGCGGCCAGTGGCTTGCTTCTCTGGCAAGTGGGGCACGGAGATGACAGGAAACTTCTCAGCCAGGCGCCCATAGAGCCAGTCAAAGTGCTTGTAGCGGCGGTGCACCTGCTGCCCAGTATGGCTGGGCACCAGCTTGTAGGCAATGTAACTCTTCATGCCCTTGAATTTGGTCTGTTTGGTGGGGTCCTCGATGGAGCACTGGAAGGGGTACGGGTTCTCTTGCCACTCGGGGCCCCTGGAGCCCAGCACCACGCACAGCTTGTCCCCGTCCTTCACGAAGCCCGACGCCTCGCCTAGCACGAAGGCCTCTCCACCGGACTTGACGAAGGTGGAGAAGCGATTGAGATTGCGGCTCACAGTGGCCGAACTCTTGGCGGCGCCACTGCCGCCGGCCGGGTGCGGGTGTCCCGGTGGGTGTCCCGCGCCGCGGGGCCCCAGGGACGGCTCGGAGCGGGTGGACAGGCGGTACCGACCCGGGGCGCCGCCGCCCGCCGCCTCGTAGTCGGGATAGGAGCTGCCCAGGGCGCCCGGCTCGTCGGCCACCGTGGAGCTGTCGTCCCAGTCGTCGTCCCAGTCGTCATCGCTGCCCTGGCTGGGCTGGTAGGAGCCGCCGTAGGGCGGGAAGGGATACCCGGCGGGGGGCGGCGGGAAGGGCTCGGCCGGAGGCTGCTGC